CCATAAGTATATTTCTCATGTTCATTCTTAAACTTTTTTAGTTTAGACGAAAGTTATAAATGTAATTAAAACAAAAGATAAAAATCATGATTTTAATGGAGGAATTTTTTTTATTTTAGAGAGGTTAATGTGATTTTGAACAATTTAGTTTGTTAGGTTTATCAATTAGTGATCAAGAAAAGTTTATCAAAAATTTACGGTTTGAAAATTTTATAATATATAAGGTTATTAAATATTAATTAGAAAGTTTCAAATTATTGATATATTTCGTAATTCTAGTTACTAAAATATCAATTTTTAATTTATTATGATTTATAAGTAAAATTTTTCTTTTTTTTATAAAAAAAATTCAATTTTTATTTTTTTTAATTATCCAACCGCAACCGCAAACGCTAAAAGAAAGCACATTTTGGATTTGAGAGGTTTGGAGAGACACAGAGCGGTATAAAGCGGTTCTCATGATTGTTGTCAAACGCCAACAACCGCTACCACCCGCAAACGCATGGTAGCGGGTGAACCAAAGTATATAAATATTTAAGGGTTAATTAGCTTAAGACTAATTTCACATCTCTTCTCTGCTTCACACTTCTCTTTTTCTCTGAAGATGAAAGATCCTAATTTACCCAAGTGATTGTTTCGTTTTGGTCGCAAACCCTTCAATAACGAAAGTGAATGGTGAGATAATAGTTAACTATATTGATTACCGATATTGATAAATGTAACCCAGAAAATATACAACTAAATTAATTATTATAATGTTTATATAGTGAACTATATTACTATTTGAATAGCTAACTAACGTTTGCATAGTGAACTATATTATTATTTGAATAGCTAGCTAACTAACGTTTGCATAGTAAACTATATTTCACTATATTATTATTTGACTAGCTAGCTAACTAACGTTTGGATAGTGAACTATTTTAATGACCATAGATGAGATAATAGCTAACTATATTGATAAAAATAGACAAAAAAATATACAAATGAATTGATTATTGTATTGTTGTAATATTGAACTATATTATTATTTGAATGCTACCTACAATTTGCATAATGAATTGTATTATTATTTGAATAGCTAGCCAACTAACGTCTCCAAATCAATCTATTTACCCAACATCATAACAACTATTGTTCCTTTTGACATCTGAAAGAAATAGTACATTATTCCTGTTATAATTGTGCTAATTATAACAACATGAAAAAAAAACTGAATATAGTCAACTATACATACCGAGGATTTTTTATGCAGATGAAAAGATTTACGGCTGTTAGGGATTCACTTCTTCATAAAATTTTTAAAGTTTTTAGTGATTTTTATCGATTAATGGTAAATATTTTGACTGATTTTTACAGATCTCTTTTTCTAATTTCACAGGGGTATTTTCGTCCAATGTTTCATTCTCTCTTCTACGGGCCTAAATTTCATTATCAATAAACTAGTTACCTAATTATGAAGCCCAAAACCAATATTAAGCTAATTAACCCTATTTAATTATCTGTCGACAAAAAAAAAAGAGTATCATTTGTTCTATCTAGATTTCGATTTTTTTTAGTCAACTAAAATTTTTATTTAAAATATAGTGAAATAAATGGTGGAATACAAGATAGAATGCAGAGCATAATACGTAGGAGAATACAAGGGCGTAAAGACACCAACCCCAGAAACTAAGCTCACATCTAGGGGGAGCATAAACAAACATAAATACAAAGCCAATCTTAATAATACGAGTCCAAAGCCAAACCTGAACTACAAGACAAAATCAGCTTAAGTCCACAACTAAGAACACATACATCACCTAAAAAATCATTTGCTTCGAGAGACCAAGAATAGTTGAGGCGACGAATGTGGAACCTCCTATAGCGAATAAACCTACCTCACAACTTCTAGAGACCAAGAAATCATACTCCAACAAGATAAGATCATACCATAACAAGTCTAGATTCTCATAATTCTGCCGCACACGGTGAAGTCAAAATAACAACGACTTGACTTGAACACACCTCTTCTAAAATTAATAGATGAAACCAGCACCCGATCAAATCATACCTAAACATGTAGAGACAAAGAGCTTAACCATTTCGATTTCTCTTCTATTTATAATGTTAATACACAAAATAGACATAATCTGTTATAGATA